CTTGGCTCGGCATCCATACAGAGCTTGGCCCGGCATTCATACAGAGCTTGGCTCGGCATCCATACAGAGCTTGGCCCGGCATTCATACAGAGCTTGGCTCAGTATCCGTATAGAGCTTGGCCCGGCATTCATACAGAGCTTGGCTCAGTATCCGTACAGAGCTTGGCTCAGCATCTGTACAGAGCTTGGCCCGGCATCCATACAGAGCTTGTCTCGGTTTCCGTACAGAGCTTGGCTCGGCATCCATACAGACCTTGGCCCGGCATCCATACAGAGCGTGGCCCGGCATCCATATAGAGCTTGGCCCGGCATCCATACAGAGCTTGGCTCGGCATCCATACATAGCTTGGCTCGGCATCTATACAGAGCTTGGCTCGGTATCCATACAGAGCTTGGCTCGGTATCCGTACAGAGCTTGGCCCGGCATCTATACAGAGCTGGGCTCGGCATCCGTACAGAGCTTTGCTCGGTATCCGTACAGAGCTTGGCCCGGCATCTATACAGAGCTGGGCTCGGCATCCGTACAGAGCTTTGCTCAGCATCCGTACAGAGCTTGGTTCGGCATCCATACAGAGCTTTGCTCAGCATCCATACAGAGCTGGGCTCGGCATCCGTACAGAGCTTTGCTCGGCATCCGTACAGAGCTTGGCTCGGCATCTATACAGAGCTGTGCTCCTCATCCATACAGAGCTTTGCTGGGCATCCGTACAGAGCTTGGCTCGGCATCTATACAGAGCTGGGCTCGGCATCCGTACAGAGCTTGGTTCGGCATCCGTACAGAGCTTGGCTCGGCATCCGTACAGAGCTTGGCTCGGCATCTATACAGAGCCGGGCTCGGCATCTATACAGAGCTGGGATCGGCATCCGTACAGAGCTTGGCTGGGCACCCATACAGAGCTTAGCTCTGCATCCATACAGAGCTTGGCTCGGTATCCAGTCTGTTGTGAAGCTATCTGAGGTATACCAAGGTCGCATTCATTATGTGATCTGTGTTTATAACAAGTAAAAACTGTATCCTGCTACATGTAAACTTATTTTTTGGTCATTTAACTCCTGCCGACAGGTTTCTAGTGTTCGTTATTGTTGACAGTGCTTGTTCAATAGTTACTTACACATGCATTAGGGGCAACATAAAAATCCTGAACTAAAAACTTCGAAGCAAAAAGGCATAAAGTGAAGTAAAGGTCCCTTTTCCCCTCCTTTAGGCCTATCTATATATATACAAAAATCAATGTTTGTGTGTTTGTTTGCTCCCTATAGACTCGGAAACTAGTGAACCGATTTAGCTGAAATTTTCAGGATATGTTTGTTGTGATACCGGATTTTGAACTGTCGTGGTTTGAAATTCAACCTATCACTGTTAGAGATAGGTGACCACAATTTATGCCAAAATATACGCAACTAATATTTATAACTTTAGTGATTTCTAATTATAGCCACGTTAGTAATTGCGCATGCGCCGTATTTACCATTCGCCGGCGAGTTACGTGCAGCCAACGCCTTCTCTAATACTAATACATAGAGTAGGTCGTGGTACAGCAAACAAGACTATCTCTATATTTGCCACAATAACCATATTAAACACGATTTCTATTTTCTTTTTTTTTTTCAAACAACCTTCGATTGGGGGGGGGGGGGGGGGCAATCAAGGACTATCTCGACGTCGGCGCAGACAGTGACTGCACTACTGCGACATTAACTTCATTAACCGTGTTAGACACGTGCGATTTCTATTTTATTAATATATCTGGAGTATCTGTCTACGAGAAAATAATTGCCTGCGGTTTTGAATTGTGTTTTAATCTACAGTAGTAGGGACTCACATGTCTAATAGTTGAGTTCTCTTTTCGTTGTTCCGACTAAGTGGCTGCTTGGTCGAATGGTTAGAACACTGGGTTCATGTGCGGTAGACCTGGTTTCGAATCCGTAGTCTTTAAATTTTTTTTTTACCCCGGACTAAAATAATATCCTCATCTGCTCTGTCGTGGTGACAGCACTAGCCATGTTGCCTTAATATTTAAAAAAAAAAAAAAAAAAAAAAAAAAAAAAAAAAAAAAAAAAAAAAAAAACAAGTAAATGGGTAAACCATTTGATAATTAAATTTGACCATTTCGCATACTTATGATTGCATTGTTAAACTTTCCGATTGCATGGTTACGCTGAAATTTTATAGATTTTCATTTATTTTCATTTAGATTTAGTTATTTCATCTGTGTTGGAATTTTAAGCTGTGCTGTTTACAATGGCGTTCATTTCCTAATTATGGTGTTTTTTTTCCTGTGTTCGTTTGCTTTTCAAGTGTTTTTTTTTTTTCTTTCTCCCAACTACTTCAATGAGGGAAAGAGTTGTCGGTGAATTTGGGGGGAGGGGGGGGGGGGCAAACTATTAACTGAGAGAGCTTTAAGTCACAGTACCTGCTTTACCCACTTAAAGTAGCAGCAGCAGTAATAGTTGTTACACCAGGGCTGTTACACCATAGTGCTCTCATGTGAAGACCGCCGGTAAGGTTATGGCGTTCTTCTGTCGGCAAGTGAAATTATACATCCTAACCTGACCAGTCTGTGGCGACAGCACTAGCCATGCGGAACCAAATCTTCTGGCTCACGACTCGCTGTCTACTCCGATGGTAACACAGATAGCAGTGACATTATTTTAGTAGTTGTACTGGTACTTGAAGGATGATGTGGTAAATATTACACTAGCCCTATTCACTACCTTTTACAATTCCTGCTCCCTATTTTAGTCCAGATGGACAGGGATGTCAATGTCAGTTACAGTAACAACAAAATATCGCCAGTTAGTGATTTTCAAATTCTTCGAAGAGGGAGAGAGCAGTAGTCGGTGGAAGAGGGGAGGGGGTAATGACTTAAATTTAAGAGAAATTAAAGAGCTTTACACTTGATTTTCAAGTTCTCATTACCTAATTTGTTTATATTTTACTAACGCTACCTCCGCTTTTCTATTTTTTACGACTTACTTTGTTATTCACAAGTACAGTTGTAGCTTTACTTCCGTCCCCTATAAAAATACAAACAGCTTTAGCATGTGATAACCAAATAACCATTTTTGTTACTGTGCTAATAACACCATTTAAACGACCTCTAATATAAAGACACAATTATAAGGTGCGTGTTCTAAAGTTGGAAAACCAGACTATCGCTATATCCGTGCAGAGAATGATTGCGACATTATCTGTATTATCACGTGCGATTTCCATTGTCTTTCTTTTCCAAAAACCTTTGATGAGGGAGATAGTAGTAGGTGGATTTAGTTGTGGTGGTGGGCGGGGATCAAAGACTATCTCTATATCTGAGCAGACAATGATTGTATTAGACACGTGCGTTTTCTATTTTCTTTCATTTCCATTTAGCCAAACTATGCCACAGCAACGCGTGGCCGGGTACAGCTAGTTGGGAATATAGGCTAGACCTATATTTTTTTATAGACCAATCGGCAGCAAGTAGGCATCATGGGATTTAAGTACTCTGTAGTTTATGCTCGTGTCGCTAAGGAACTACCAATAGCTGAGGGTTTTGATGCTACGATCATACACTTAATAGTGTCACCTACTGTGGGTATAGTGTAAATTCAGGTGTAATTGCTCACCACAAAGGAAGATAAATAAATAAGATAACAAAGGAACCGTCCTTGAAAAAGCAGGCCATCAGGCGGCTAAAAAAGGACTAAGCTTGGAATTTTTGTTTGATTTTAAACGATACGATACGATACGGGTATAGTATTGGTTATCTTGTAAACTTCGAAGTATAGATAGGTTTTATTTGTCCTTTACTGCGGGGAATGGTGGAATTTGGGGGGGGGGGGGGGGGGGGTTGGTCTGGACATCTTGATCAGTAAATTGGTACTGAAGGGGGCAGCAAACAGGAAGTTGTTTTCTGCGAAAACCGTTTATAGTTAGGAAAGATGAAGAAGCAAATACCAAAACAAATGGTAAGTTCTCTCTCATGCAAAGAGTGTTTATGGATTTGATTTTTGATTGTAAGCTATTACTGAATGAAGTAGCTAGGAAACGAGATTCTCGCTGAACACTTGGATAACGACAACAATTGAAGAAGAGCAGCGTCTCGTAATGCGTCTATCTATATCTAGGCCCAGAGCTCACAATGAAGGAGACTCCTCCGTGATTAGTAGAATTGTGTAAAATCCTAAATCTGACCAAGAAGGCAGATCCCAGAAACCCCATTCAACCTCCATAGAAGGTTTGATTAGGGCACCAGAAACGTTTACAGAAGCATGTTAACTGCAGTACTATGCGGGGAAGCGGGGAAATAACGATTCTGGGGTCGACCCAACCTACAAAAAAAAAAAAAAAAAAAAAAAAAAAAAAAAAAAATAGGTACTTTAAATTCAGTTTCAAAAGTGATGGTGACTAACTGACATTAGTATTTCTGACGTAGGTTTAAGAAGATGTGGGCTCAACACTAGGTGGCCCGGAGGTTTCAGGTAAGTAAGTAAATAAGTTAGGTTATATCAGGGCCCCCGACAAAAGCGAAGGCGAGGCTTTGAAATATCGAAAAAATGCGCCCCACATTGGGACGGCGAATTTAATAAGGCCTCATGTTAATGTTACCCTGTCAAAACTCAGCGGAACCTCCGTGGCAAAGTGGTCAAACCGTTAACATTGCGCTCTGTAGTTCGTTGGTTCATTTTCCCATTGCGTTATTTGATTCATAAGGGCATTTTTGTCACTGAGGATTGCGACTGTAGCTTTCGACTATGCTGACGGCAGAAGACCACTCGCTCTACAGAGACTGAAACATGTGGGATAAACGTTGGGTAACGAAGATATCTCGTTGTAAATACTTAAAGCAAGTTTTTAAACTGAAAACGATTTTTGTTTTCAAGCTATGAAAAAAGTGCTTTTCATACTATTAACGTATCCAACAACAACTGTGTCGAATGTACTATCTGAGAGATCATACCTGAGCCTTTGTTTTAGAGCTGTACAACTCTCACCCAAAGATTTCCTTCATCATTTGTTGTCATAAGTTTTCCGAACCATCCCACGACACGCCTTCGTGCAGGCGTGGCCTTCGCTGTGTGACAGTGGATGTTGTGGTCCTTTGAACAGAGGATGTAGACGGAGATAATGATCGACGGACTGTGGAAATCGGCGCTGCCAAAAATCTACGATTGGATGCTTGTGTTCTTGGGATTCTGGTCCACGTTTGCCACATTTCGTCTCGTCTAGCTGCTGGTGTTTCCCCGGGACCTATTGAAGACGCTGGCACTGCGATATCTCTACCGGGCGTTCGTGGTTTCTCGGAATCAGAAGAACTGAAAGAGTCACAACCTTCATCCCCGCCCTCAGAACCACTTTCAGAACGGACATCGTGCTCATTAGCGATAGTGCAGGCAGAGGAAGGGTGACCGCTGTCCGCTGTGGACATTCTTTCGCGACCTCCTCGACTTTCGTGCAGACGTAGATCAGGACTGATGCTTGCCGGTTCTATGTCGCTCTGTGAGAGACTGCCGGAGGCCTGGTCGGTGTTGGGAGAACTCGAAGACTCCGAGAGATTCTTACTTCTGGTTCGTCTGGTTGAAGATTTGCTGGTAGGCTTGGCTGAGGATGATCGGTGACGGGATTTCTTTTTCTCCTCAGATGTGGAAAAATTAGGACAGGTAGGCTGCTCACCTTTAGCGTAAACCAATGTGATCTTAATCGATTTTTTACCAGAACTGATAAAGTACGATTTGGGTGCCAGGGACGCCTTCTCTTGCTGGAGAAGGGCAACAACAGGTCCAGGCAGGGGATACTCCATCAACTCAATGTACACCACAAGAAACAGTTGCGGGTCCACGGAGTCGAGACTAAAGAAACACATGTGGGATGTTTACACGTATCCTTTCATGAAATTATCCAGTCTGACATTGATGAAACGCCGCAGACAAGAGGAGCACACACTTTCGGCTGTCACCGTCACAGTGAATCACTCTCATTCAATATTCGATTAATTACCGGCGCATGTCAGTGCTTACATTCAGCTAAAGCTGCTTAACGTGATGCCGAAAGCGTAGATATTCTGTTTGCTGTTTTCGATCAAAAGGCCAACCTGGCAATAGAAACATATGCAATGTGCGTTAATAAAGTAAAAGATGTAAACGACCCTTTTTCACTCCTTTAAACATATTGGGTATACAGATCAATCGACGCTCGAGGGGTGATGTCGTCAGCATCACACTGACCGCCTTTACTTTCCAGGACTACACCTGGTACTCACTCAAGGTTAGGTGGATCTGGGAACCATCATCTTTTCTGAAAAAGTCCTGCTCCATCAGGACCCGAACCCACGACCTTTCGATCCGCTATATCACAGGGGCTGCCACTTCATGACAGTACTTTTCTAACTATACGTATTGTTTTAAGTAAACTCATGACGATTGTCTCCACTGCTGTTCATATTCTAACATCTACAACATGAGGACAATCTAGTGATCAGCACTCGATGGATGATGTGATCAACATCACACCGACCATCTTTACTTTCCATTATCTTTCCCTATATCCATTTGATACCAGGCCAGCCATAAAATCCAATGTCAATTATTGCTTCTGAGGCAAATATCATTTCAAACTAATAACTGGTGTGTGTAAAGTGTTTTCAATAATGATAGTTAATAAATAAATAAATAGCCATTAGTGACCAGTGAGGGTTATCACCACAGCACTCTGGACAGATCCCTAGATGCTGCGATCTCCTCCTCAGTAGCTCCATAAGAGTAAAACGACTGATCATCGCCTTCTATGTTGATTAACCAGACACCGTGTGCCCTTGGTAAATATTTTCAAGTCTGGCTGCTCCAGGCTGCACCTCCATTGTCCACCAGTCTGGACAGGGATTCTGAGCTCTGTACTTGTTATTGCCATATGCATCTCGCTTGTTAATGACAAATCATGTCCAGTGTTGGGCCGGTCGTGGTTCCCGCCTTGTTCGCCAGATCATCTACACGCCCATTGCTTTAAACACTCGCATAGCATTTTAAAAAAACACACGCACACACGCATAGGCACACACACACACACACACACACACACACACACACACAGACTCACACTCATATACAATATGTGCGCTTTCTGTTGTCAGTCTACAGAAAAAGATATTAACACACATAGAGAGAGAGAGAGAGAGAGAGAGAGAGAGAGAGAGAGAGAGAGAGAGAGAGAGAGAGAGAGACTCACACTCACATACAATATGTGCTCTTTCAGTTGTCAGTCTACAGAATAAGATATTAACAAACAAAAAAGTGAAGCAGATTAACCATTAACAATGATTTATATCTATCCCATTGTTGTGTGTTAAAAGGTTCTATATTACTAAAAAATTGTTTAGAGGAGGATAAACTTAATAACACTGACAACGGATGTTTTAGTAAATATTGTTTCGTTGTTCAAAAAAGAATAATAATGTCATTATGTGAAGTGGAGGTAAAAATTTTTAATCAGACAAACGGTACGGTGGACTAGAGATGTTTGATAACCGTTGGTCTGCAGGATATGTCGTGTAAGTTAATGAACAGAATTAGTCAAGTTAGTTAGCTAGATTGGTGCTCGGGAACCAACCCTCGTGGTTCATTGGCTAGCACGCGTGCCTCTCGCCCCGTTGACCTGTGTTCTAATCTTCTTCGAGGCGTGATTTGTTTCTATTAAATCTTAACTTAACAGCTGGTACAAGGACATGCAAAGACAGCGATGACATCCACTAAGCCTAACAGTTGGTACCAGGACATGTTCTGTGAAGCAAAGACCGTGACGACATCCACTAAGCCTAACAGTTGGTACCAGGACATGTTCTGTGAAGCAAAGACCGTGACGACATCCACTAAGCCTAACAGTTGGTACCAGGACATGTTCTGTGAAGCAGGGACCGTGACGGCAACCTCCACTGAGCACCAGCTGGTCCATGCTTTGAAAGCTGGACCATATGTCCCCACAATGACACGAAACGTTGTTGTGTACAGATTTATAATGAGATATAACCGGTACATAGAGGAGATCAAACGACATGCACAATAAGGAGATCAAACGACAGACACAATGAGGAGATCAAACGACAGACACACTGAGGAAATCAAACGACAGACACAATGAGGAGATCAAACGACAGACACAATGAGGAGATCAAACGACAGACACAATGAGGAGATCAAACGACAGACACAATGAGGAGATCAAACGACAGTCACAATGAGGAGATCAAACGACAGACACAATGAGGAGATCAAACGACAGACACACTGAGGAAATCAAACGACAGACACAATGAGGAGATCAAACGACAGACACAATGAGGAGATCAAACGACAGACACAATGAGGAGATCAAACGACAGACACAATGAGGAGATCAAACGACAGTCACAAAACGACAGTGAGGAGATCAAACGACAGACACAATGAGGAGATCAAACGACAGACACAATGAGGAGATCAAACGACAGACACAATGAGGAGATCAAACGACAGACACAATGAGGAGATCAAACGACAGACACAATGAGGAGATCCAACGACAGACACAATGAGGAGATCAAACGACAGACACAATGAGGAGATCCAACGACAGACACAATGAGGAGATCAAACGACAGACACAATGTGGAGATCAAACGACAGACACAATGAGGGGATCCAACGACAGACACAATGAGGAGATCAAACGACAGACACAATGTATGTCATCGCGGTGCATGGAGTCATGTCTCTTTAGAAACCTCTCAGCGACAACTATCACAATCGGCAATGAAACAGAACATCCCAGCAGAGATGTATTTTTACTAGTACCTGATTAGTGCTAATTTTGTTCAGATGAACTCTTGATTCTTCAGTCCCGTGGAATTCGCGTTAACAAGGCTTTTGGTTATTAGTTCTTTCTTCTTGAGCCTGGGGCGGCGCATAAGGCAGAGGTCATGGCTCTCCATGTCTAGCGGGTTTTTGCCACCCGTTTAAGGTCTTGGATGTTCATTAGGCCTATGGTTGCGCTTTTCCTAATGATGGTTCTAAGCAGGGTCTCTCTTGGTCTTCTCCGTTTTTTTTTCCCCTCCAGCAGTCCATATGAGGGCTTGATTGTGCAGTCTTGTCTTATTCATTCTGAGTGCAGGGACGATGTAGTTCCAGCGGGATAAAATTGGATACAATATCTTGCTTGATATATTGTCTTTTTTGCGTAATGGATCTTAAATCTGTGTAGTGGAGTCTGAATATTCTTCAAAGACATTTGTTCTCAAAATCGTATGTATATATATATATATATATATATATATATATATATATATATATATATATATATATATATATATATATATATATATATATTCTTCAAATCTAGAGCTACCCATGTTTTCTAACTCTCGCATCCATAAGTTAGCACTGGATCACACAAGACTTGATGATCTTGAGTTTTATATGATTTGTGAACGTCTTTGACTTCCAGATGTTTGACAGTTTGTTAAAGACACAAGAAGCCAGTGCGATTCTATTTGATATTTTTGGCGTTGAATCCCCTGTATACGTCATGTTACTTCCTAGGTAAGTAACTAGGCTTTACTGTATTAAATAAACACGTAAAGACATTTACTTTGGTTATGAGAGACAGAGTATTTACCAACTTGATCCAGCTGCAGTATTTCTTCACTTCATCAAAGTCAAAATTATAATAAATTACCAAAAAACAAAACCCAAAAAATAGTTGAAGAGTCAAATCAAAGTAAAAGTCGATACAAACTGAAAGCGTAGCATTATGTTAATTTGAAAATAATTCAGCGAATGTTTGGCGTCAGAATTTTAATGAGAAAATTCAACAATGCGGTATGCTGCAGGCTTTAAAAAATACAGTTAACGTCATTGACAAATCTGGATATTAGGGCACGCGATCTGTCCTATACAGAACCTATAATTGCTTCGATTATTCATACGCCTGTCGCTGTTCAAACATTTCACCGTGTGTCTTGGCATTGTAAGAAAGGCAGCCGTATTCCAACATTTAGAGCTCTGGCATCTATTATGTGGTGGTGGTTTCGGCAAGGGGGCGGAAAAAGGAGGAGGAGACGATGACATTGAACATTAATTCAATTTTCGATAACCACGCCCTTTTTTTTTTTTCTTCTTTGCGTCATCTCTTGTTTATACGTTTTAAATACCGGTTTAAGATTTCAATGTGTATCTGAAATGTGATTAAATAATGACCTAAATATCCAACAGTAAATTATAACAGATGTCCCACACCAGGGGGAGACAATCTACCTTCTCTGCCGGGATATTGAATAACAGGAAAGGAAAAAAGAGTACGTACAGACGACGAGAAAACTGGTGGAGAACAGCCTAATCACTAGACAAAATGTCGGACAGTTTGGCGATATGGTATTACAGAAAATATGTATCGGAAATAACGTACAGTGCACGAGACGGTAGATAGACATAATAAAGCCACCTGCATAGACCATGAGAAGATAATTGTTTAAATGCCCGTTAATGTCGTCATATTAATTTCCAAAAATGTCGAAGTAATGAACTCTTAAATATGTCCTCTGAAATTATAATTTAGCAAAATTAGTCACAAAACGTCGCGTGCTTTACCTTATTAATTACCATAATACTGTACTTGTAACTTTTTAAATAATGTGCTTTCTTGCGCTGTGTGGTTCACTAGTCATTTCAAAACCATCTCTATCACAGTTATAATTTTGTAACTTCTACTGTTTTATTTCTAAGCGACACACTCTTTGTGGTGAAGTGCTCAAGCCACACACCCACACACAACCGACTTAAAAGAGGAAAATCTTGAAAGGGTCACACCCAGAAGCTATTACCTGGTAGGAATACAACT